CCCAGATTTAGGGTACATAGCGTGTCTCAGATATGGCTGCCCCAGTCCCCTCGGGAATTATCTCTCAGGGAGCCTCCTCTTTTGAAAAGCCAGAAACGTGTCCTATCCTGCCCATGGCTTCTGAGTGGAGTGACTGTGAGAGGATGTGGGACATGTATGGGACACTGCTCCCTCCTTTCTATAGACTGGATTCCTTGGCTCAAGGGGACATTGGAGACCAGGCATGACCATAGGTGTGACCTGAGGCTCGTGGTGGGGCAACATTTCTGGTGCTAGGACCAGGGCCACCTGCTTCTGTATTTCATTTGTTCCCTGTGACCTTGAGCGTTTCCATGCCTTAAACTCACTTTTTTCTTCACTTATAGAAATATAAGACTCTCTGAATTGAGCAAATTAGGCAGCTTTTACACCTTTTAGACAAAGAAACAAAAATTTGTGAAAAATTGACAAAGGGGTTTTGATTTGGAATAGTATAATAAATTAGTTAAGAAGTAAGTAGGTTTGTTTATACAGGCTTCTCAGCTTTAAATATCCCATCTCTGGGACTAAGGATGTCTGTCTACCTCCTTAGTGATACAGGGAAGGTACCTTGCACATGGGAAATTAATTTCCTGCTGCAGGGGGAGAAAGGGGATCAGAGTGTACTTCTTGCACTGCTGTTTCTTAAGTAACTTTAATTAGGAATAATTGATATACCAAAGTGGCACTTTTGGGGTTGCCTGACTTGAAACCCATCATCACCCTTTGCATTCTAATAAGTTTGATAAACAAAGAGTCCTCCAGGCCTTCCCATGGAGCATAGTTTGTGGACATTTTCTGTTTTCTTCTAGCTTTTCATGCTCTATCCATTTTGAGATATGTATTTCTTGGAGCCTTTTAATCCCTCCCTGTACTGTGTGCCTTGGAAGTTCCTGATATTCTATTCCACGCAGTGTAGCCATCCCTTTCCCAAAGTCCCAAGACCCATGCTAGCAGCAGGTTAGCGCCATCTCCCAGGGCCGTGCTAAAACCGTGACACATGTCAAGTCTGCCTTCCCCAAGTCCTCTCCTCACCCCACACCCACTGTCATCCAGCTTCCTCAGGAGCAATCCCTGACCCTACACCTCCTCCTTGCGTAGCACCCTCTACCGTCTACACCGTTTTTTCCTCTATCCAGCCTGGCATGTCCCTGCAATGGCTGTGGGCTGACTGATGGTGGTTATGGCCTGGTGGGCAGAAGGGACATATCCGGGGGGGGGGTTTCTTACCAGGCAGAGACCTCCTAGTCCTCCTCAAGCAACAGAGGGACACTCGCCTTAACTGTTGAAGGGAGGTGCTGGGCAGGGTCAGTCCTTGCTCTGCCAGCCCCGCCATCAGGGGGATTCTCTTGGTGTCACAGAGATGGGGGAGACGTGCTTATGGGGCCTTCCCTTCCAACCCCAACCATCACCTGTGGTTTTCCTTCACAGATGCTCCCTCTCTTTGCTACACCTTCACCATCACTCCTAATAGAAAACCATGGTATGAGATTCAAGGCCAGTTCAATGGAAACACGTTTCTCAAGTATACCTCCAGTAGCAATATAGCCGAACCCATTGGTCCTCTGGAGGTGAAGGTGAATGCCACCGAGGCCTGGAAGGATCAGACAGTAACTCTGAAAGACCTGATGGAAGAGCTCAAAAAGAAACTGCTTGACAGTAAACCAGAGATGAATATACCCAGAGGTAAGTCTGAAAGGCTCAGGGCAGAAGTAGAACAGATGTAGGGTTAGGGAGCTATGTGTTTATGTAAATATTAGGTGTTGGTGCCACCCAAGAGGACCATGCCACAGAGGAGAGGGGAGGACCAGGAATTAGGAGGGCAGCAGAGGGCTGGATACCAGGTGGGGTCAGAGGGTCTGTGAAGGGCAAGGCTGACATCTTTCTCATGGTTGGCTGCAGATTCTCGCTCCCTGCAGGGCAGGATCCTGTGTCAGCAGGAAGCCAGTGGAACCACCAGGGGATCCTTGGAGTTGTATTCTGATGGACAGAGATTCCTCCGCTTTGACTCAGAGAACAAAAAGTGTGCAGTGGATCATTCTGGAGATGAATGGATGAAACAGGACTGGGAGAATGACATGGATTTGAACATGCTTTTCACCATAATCCCCGGACACTGCAAGATGTGGCATGATAAATTTTTGGAGCACTGGAAGAAAGAGCTGTCCACAACAGGTAAGAGAGAAGAGAGGGATGACATAGTAGTTTTCTTTTGATGAGATCAACTTACTGTGTGTGTGTGTGTGTGTGTGTGTGTGTGTGTGTGTTAGAAAAAGTGATTCATCCATGTTGAGTTCTCCTTGGGAGAGCAATAGCCATAGGCATGTCCTGCCATCCTTCCTTTCCCTTCTGACTTCCTGACATCTCGTCCTTACTGCACATGACTTTGAACCACTCACCGTGGATTTCTTACTGGCCCCAAACATGAGGACATTATCCTGTTTCCATACCTTTTCTTCATACTGTCCCTCTTCTTAGCATCACTTTTCTTTCTCATTCTCACCTGGTCTAGTCTGGGAATCCTTCAATACCACCTCTACTGTCAGCTCCTGAGAGGGCTTCTGTACCTCCTTCCTCCTGTGTCACCTCCTCTTCTGTCGCAGCAGCACTGACTGGTCATATTCTAACTTCCCCCATTAGCTGTATGAACCCCAGGGAACAGGCCCCATCTCCTCTCTTTTTTCCAAGCCTTGAATCTGTCATGGTGGCTGCCACATGTGGAGGGGCAGAAAATGTCTGCACGGCAGGATTATCTGGGGCAGGTGTCTGAGGAGGCGTCTCCTCAGATTTGAGGTCTGGACAAGAGCTTTCACTCTTGTGTTTCCATTGCAGCCCCACCAACCACGGTCTCAACCAGAACCCAATCCAAGGCTACGACCACCGCGCGCAACATCTGGATTCCAATTGTCGTCCTCTGTTTCTTGTTCACAGTTGGCATCCTGTGTTATGCCATTTACAGGTACTGAGGGCAGAATTGAGTGGAACTGAGGGGCAGATTACCTAGAGTGAGGTTTTTACTTGCATGGAATATCTTTTTCCATCTCTTCACTTTTATCCTATGTGTGTCTTTAAAGCCAAAGTGAGTGTCTTGTAGGTAGCATATAGTTGGGCCTTTAAAATATTTTTTGTTTATTCAGCCCACTCTATGTTTTATAATTGGTAAATTCAATCCATCTAAATTTAGAGTTATTGATATGTGAGAATTTATTAATGCATCTTGTTAATAGCTTTCTGTTTTTTAATTTTAATTTTAATTTTTAATTTTTTTATTTCCATTGTTTCTTTTCTTTCTGTTTCTGTGTAATTTACAACTTTGTGATTTTCTGTACTGAGATGCTGTGTTTCCTCTATCTTTATCTTTAGTGCGTCTGCTCAAGCTTTTGCTTTGTGGTTGTCATGAGATTTACATAAGACATTTCATAGACAAGACAGCGCATTTTAGGCTGATAGCAAGTTAACTTCGATTGTCTACAAAACCTTCTCCTTTTTATTCCCCCAGTTTATATTTTTGATATCTTTATTTACTTCTCTTTATATTGTGTATTCAACACATTATAATAGCTATAATAATTTTTAATACTCTTTTCCTTTGAATTTAACACAAAAGATAAATGGTTAACACACCATATTATTACATGTTTACTTTCCCAGTGTGTTGTATACTTTCATATATTTTTATGTTGGTAATTAGTGTCTTTTTATTTCAGCTTGAAGTATTCCTTTCAGCATTTCTGGAAGGTGGGTCTAGTGGTGAACTCCCTCAGGTTTTGTTTTTCTAGGAAAGTCTTTATTTCTCCTTCAGTTGTGAAGGATCATTTGTCATATAGAATATCTCTGGTTGGCAACTTTTTTCTTCCAACACTTTGTATATATCATTCCACATTATCCTGGCCTTTAGGGTTTCTCCTAGGAAATGCACTGATACCCTAAATGGGGGTTCCTTATAGGTTACAATTTTTTATTTTTATTTTTACATAACTACTTTTAGAATTCTTTCTTTATTCTTGATTTCTGAGAATTTCATTTTAGTGTGTCTTGGAGAAGGCCTTTCTGCATTGAGATAACAAGGTGATCTTTTAGCTTCATGTGTTTGGGTGTCCAGTTCTCTCCCCAGTTTTGGAAAGTTCTGAGCTATTATTGCTTTAAATAATATTTCTGCTCCTTTCTCTCTTCTTCTGGAGTCCTGATTATTTTAATATTTGTCTTTTTTATGGAATCCCATAGATCACACAGGCTTTCATCTCTTTTTTTCTGATTGTTTGTTCTCATCTAACAGGGTTATTTCAAAATTCCTATTTTCTAATTCACTTATTATGTATACTCTTCTACAGGTGTGCTCTATTGCATTTTTTATTGCATTCACTGAGTTTATCAGCTCCAGAATCCCTGTTTGGCTCTTTTTTATGATTTCTATCTCTTTGGTAATAACTTCATTTTATCATATTTCCTTCTGAGATTTCTGTAGCTCTTCGAGTTTCTTCAAAATATCAATTTTGAATTGTTTATTAGCTATATCATAAAATTCTGTGCCTTTGAGTTTGGTTATTATAGCATTATTCTTTTCTTTTTGTAATGGCATGTTTCCTTGATTTCTCATGTCCTTGTAGCTTCGAATTGCTGCTTTTGAATTTAAAGTAGCAGACACCTTTTGAAATGTTTGCTAGTTACCTTCAAGTGGGGTATTCTGTTAGATGGTGGTGTTATCATTTGAGGTTTTCTCTGTTTCTGTATGGGTACACCTGCTCATGGCAGTATTCTTAAGCTTTTATGCTTTTTCTGGTTTTTACAACTCACTAGGGTGGCTTCTCTTTTGTTTTCAGAAGGTGGTGCTATAGCGCAAGTTTGTGTGAGACTTTGCCCATGGATCTTGGGCTGTTTGTGGATTGCACTCCCTGTCTGCTGGAGCTCATTCACACCACACACAGAAGCTCACAAAAGAAACCAATTGCAGTGTGTGTGTGTGTGTGTGTGTGTGTGTGTGTGTGTGTGTGTGTGTGTGTGTGTATCTTTAGTACCTGTGGTGCTGGAGCCCCCACGGATCTGTTAGGGAGATCCTAGGGTGTGGTACCCCCAGCTTGTGGGTGCAGTTCCTTATCTGCCTCTTTCCTAATCTCCTCCCCTACTCCCTTCAGTCACTGAGGTGCTGACTCAGTACTCTGGGTGTTTCAGGAGACAAAAGGGTTTTCTCCAGGGGCATCCGTCACAACTAAGGTAGCCGGGACATTAACTCACCACTATTTTTCCTCCTCCTCTGCCTCAGAGGTCCCTACCCCCAAATATATCAGCCTTGGGCAGTGTTTCTTTGGTGGGAAGGGGGTGGCTCTGGGAAAGTTTCTCTTATGCCTGCTATGGCTGTGACCAAAGCTGTATTTCTTTCCTCCAATGATGAGCTGGAATCTGCCCTAGGGAAGGTTGGATTTCTGAAAACTCGCTGGTCCATGGGTATTTGCATGGGTGAGCCCTCTCCAGGCTTTTCCTTCTGACCGCAGAGACTGGGATCTCGGCAGGTTCCTCAGTCTGAACAAGGGCCTGTTTCTCTATTACCAAATGCACAATAAGTGAGACTTTGGGGTCCCTCAGCATATGGTGATGGATCCCACAAAACCCACAACCGTGCTATTGTTCACAGATAGATACATAATTTGTTGACAGTGGGGAATGACAGGAAGACTGTCTTACACCACCATGACATCACTCCACTCTTAAATGACTCAGGATTTTCATCTTCAAGTACATTCCTGTCTTAACTAAATATGTTTTGCTGAGTCTCTGTACAGCAAGAGATGTAGGGAGGTTGGTTGTGTTGGTGGGCGTAGGATGTGCCAATCTCACTGAATAGAATGCTATAGATTTTCAGGAACGCGGCTCTCAATGCGCTCCTTTTTTTAATGAGCAGAGCTCTTGCTGACTCACATTGTAGATATGGCATGAGACGTAATACCTTTGAAAAAATAATTTACAAAATTTACGATCAAAACACACAAACTTTACCATCTTAACCATTTCTTTTAGTATACAATACATATTAAGCCTCTCATATTTTGGTGGTGTTTGTTTTTGCAGTAAACCTAGCCTAACTTGATTGAGATGGGCGTTTTTACTTTTAAGCTTTTTTTTCTTTTCATTTTAAGGGCGTCTTTTGAAAACAATGTATTTCATTGGGTTATTTGTAAATCGAACTTGAGAATTTCAGTTATTCAATTGGTGAGCTTATTAATTTACATTTATGATAATTACTGCTATATTAAAACTTATCTCTGCCATCATATTTTTCATTTATTATGCTTTAGAAAAAGATTTTCTCCTCCATACCTGCACTTCATTTACTGTAGTGAGTTTTCTTCTACTAGTTTAAATCTTATTTTTCTTCTCATAATAGTTGCTCTGAACCTATGACCCACACCAATGTTTACTTACATTTATTTATTATTATTTTTGTTTCTCTTTTATCAAAAGTATTTGGCATATTTTCATATTTCTTTTGTGTGCCACCTCCCATCCAATGTTCCTGATATTGTCCAGAATTTCATTTCTGTATTATTTATAGGTGTCCTTTTTCTTTTCTGTGATTTTCATTCCTCCTCCCTCTTTTTTAGATAGCAATACTCTTTAATCAATTTTTTGGTTACTCATCCTTTTTTTTCTCTTGTCACATCTCCTGGATGTGTTTCTCTTACTATTGGAGTCCTTTCTCCAAAATGTATTTCATCTTGGATCTTTTAGTGGCAAATATCCTTTAAGCTTTATATGTTCAAAAAATATATTTACAAAGTCTGACAATTAAGTTCGCGAACTTGTTGCAATGCTATTGCTAATCTTTTTTGCTATCAGAGGGATTATTTATTATGAATTTGTACCAACTGGACAAACAGTTAACTAAGTTTACTATTTGGAAGTGCTAAAAAAGCTGTGTGAAAAATTTAGATGACCTGAACTTTTCACCAACAATCCTGACTCTTGCATCACGACAATGCACCAGCTCACACTGCACTGTCTGTGAGGGAGTTTTTAGCCAGTAAACAAATAACTGTATTGGAACACCCTCTCTACTCACCTGATCTGGCCCCCAATGACTTCTTNTGAAGAGGCTTCTCCTGAGATTCAGGGTCTGGACTAGGCTGTCCCTCTTGTATTTCCACTTCAGCCCCACCAACCATGGTCCAAGGTACAGCCCAATCCATGGCTGAGTGCATCTCGCCCAGCCTTTGAGTTCCCGAAATATCCTAACTTGCTCAATCCTCCTTGGCATCCCTGGCAGAGTGCTTTAGACTACGAGCTACTTTGGGCAGAAGTGAGAGTGCAGCACAGGGCAGATAGCCTGAGGTTAGGATGGGAAAGGGAGTTCCCTGCCAACCACTGCCCCGTTGCCTGACCACCTCATCTGGGAATTAGGCCAGGTGAGTAAGACTGTATGAGTCAGGGTTCACCTGAGACTGAGAATCAAAAGGAGATAGAGAGCTTGAGCTAAAGTACAGATAGAGATATGGTTACAAAAAGAAGTTATGAGCTATTAACAACAAATTAGATATCTATCTGCGAACAAGAGCACTTTGTGGGTGTAGTGGGATCTAGAACCATATGCTGAGGGCCCCCAGAGAAGTCTCACCCACCTGTGCATCAGGTGAGGAATCTGTGGAGACCCTTCTCTCTGCCATTCGGGGGAAGAAAACGTGGTGGTTGTTGACCTTTGCAGATACCTGTGGAGAAGAGAACTTGCAGAAGTCCAGCCTTCTCTAGGGGGGATTTCAGTATTCAAGGGTCCTTCCAAGGTCCCTGGGGGTGAGTGTGGGGGATGGGAGCGCAGCCATGCCTACTGTTTCCTGGGGCTGGTAGCTAGTGAGTCAGTGTGTTTGAGGTGCCAGGCCTAATTCTTAGGCAGCACCTTGAATCCACATGAAGACATAAAGAGCACAGTAAAGGTAACCACATAATAAGTATGAAAGATAGTACAAATGTAGGTGTATTC